TATATATATATATATATATATATATATATATATATATATATATATATATATATATATATATATATATATATATATATATATATATATATGGGCTCGTAAATAAGAATGAACACTTTCACGCTATTTGGGGAACACATGGAACGATCTGAAAGGGCATGATAGGTGGCTAGTGGTGACCGAGAGAAGGCACATGGAGGCACGCGGAGGATGTTGGCAAGGCCCCTTCCTTCGAAACACAAATGAGTACTTGTTCAAAGAATTATGGCAATTTGCATCGGAGCTTGATAAGTCTGATATATAAATTAGCCTCAGAGTGTTGAGTTGAATGTGTTAGGAACGGGGTCGACACTAAGAGGGAGGGGGGGGGGGGAGGTGAATTAGTGTAGTGGAAAAATCACGTCTTCAAAAACTTTCGTATGATAAAATCTGTTTACATTGAAAATGATTTCAGAAAATTAACTTTGAAAGCATACGTTTATGAAGTAAATGTAATAGGCAAGTAAAGATTCAGTTTGCAGTATGTAAATGGCAGGAAGCAAATGCAAACCAGAGAACATGCCAATTTTATAGTGGTTTGGTCATCATGACCTACATCCACTCGACCGATTCCTCCTCCGTCGAGGCCACCGACATCTACTATTGATCTTCCTTTAATAGGTGAAATTTGACCTCCTTCTTACACCCCTCTTCTCCTTTTACAAGGTTTATAAGATAATCCTTACGAGCACTCACACTCCTCTCTTACAGAATTCTAAACTTAGAGTGGAGGAGGGAATTTCTAAAGAGATTACAGCAGCATTTCTTCACTTTTAAAGAATATGTGCTTGTGTCTTTTAACCAGGGATGAGAGGGGCATTTATAGACTTCAAGTTGATTCAAACTTGGAGCCTAAAAACATCTCATCCTAGGCTTCCCGGGCACGGGTGGTACCACCGCCTACGCTGGGCGATACCACCGCTAGTGTCAGTCTGACACTGACACTGCACTGGACGGTACCACCGCCCAATCTGGCGATACCACTGCCTAGCATAGTCTCGAAGATTGTGCCACGACGGTGCCACTTCTTGGGGCACTATTTGTGCCTCTTATTGGGCTCAACACAGTCCTTACATGGGCCCAACTGTCCAATAATTAGGTTGGCCCAAATCCAAACCTAATTACGTGCTAACTACAATTCCTAAGACATATTCTAAGCTAAACAAGTACGTAAGTCTAGTTTCTTCCGGCGAGCTTCCAGCGATCTCCAGCGAACTTCCGACAATCTCTTGGCAATGTTCCAACAGACTCCCGGCACTCTCCTGGACTTCACAACGATCTTCTTAGCGAGTTCCGACAAGCTTCTCTGGCAAGCTTTGAAACTTCTCAACTGGTTCCGACAGAACTTCCGACGAACGTCCAGACTTCCGACGAACTCTCGAACTCCCAACGAAATCGCATCCTTGACTCCGGGACTTCATTTTGCTTCATGCCTTGCTATCACAGTTAATCCTGCACATGTAAAACACACTTCAATTTAGACAATTAATACTAAGCATTAATCATGTTGTCCGGCATGTCATTGGTCCCTCGACACATCGTCCTCTCTTATAGCCTATTGCCCAATCAGCTAGTTGACTCCGTAACTCCGATATCCTTGGCGCAATATCCGCTCTTCTTGGCCCGAAGCCTTTTGTCGATACGTCGACCGATCCTCCGGCCCGACATTCAATCTTCTGACATGTTTTCCTCCGGCCCAACGTGATTTTTCCTACTTTAATTGTCTCATCCTGATCGAAGCATCCTGCGTCACTCAAAATGCATATTAAAATATAAACACTTATCAATTGGTTTTATCATCAAAATACGAGATTCAACAATCTTTTCCTTTTTGATGATGACAACCAATTGATGACGGAGTTAACCTTAACTCCCGGAGTTTAAACAAAACTCCCCCTATCAATATTCCATATTGATAGAACCTTGAATTCAAGCTGAATTCAAGTCATTGCAAATTTCATCATAAATATTTATAATATTTTATCATGCGTAATATGATCATACTTCTCCCCCTTTGTCATTAGAAGTGTAACTTTCAAATGTTTGGAAACATAAGTTCAACTCATTGCATGATAAACATAATCTCCATTTTTATCATCATGCAAACTAGCAAAAATTTACCAAGTGCTATATCATATTAGAACATGCAAGCTATTAAGTTTTAGATATGCAAGTTTTACAACATACAAGCTAGAAAATATAAAGATGTGCAAGCTGGCATATTTGCTTTTCTTTACGATATGCAAGATAGCATATTTTTGCATTTTCTTGAGATTTCAAGCTAACAATTCTTGGTGATATTCAAGATGGCAATTTCTTCTCTTTTGAGAAGTGCGATTATTTTTGCTTCCTTTACAAAAACACAAGTTCACAAAATGTTACATTATTTTACAATATGGAAGCTAACAATTTGAGATGTCTAAGAAGAAAGTTCTTTCTTCTCTTTTGAGAAGTGTAATTTTTGCTTTCTTCTTGAATTGTGTGAACTAGCATCTTTTATCTCCCCCCTTGTTATTGTTAAAAAGAAGGGAAGACCGTTTATATCAATTTTCAGATTATGACAAAGGTAAATTATCAACTTTGTTTCAATATGTTTGTGCATCATTATGATTTCAATTTGAAATATGCACAATTTCAAAACCTTACATTTGTATCCTTACTTCATGCATGATATAAATAAATCAATCATCACTATGGGCATATCATACATGATATTCAAGCATTCATGATACATCATTTTGGCAACATGATCATAGCTTTTCAAATGATGGTA